CTATTCAGAGTCAAGGTGTTTCCTCCAAGGTGTTCAAGAGAGCGAAAATTCGTTTTTCTTCTTTCTTTTTTTTATATCAAGATGTATTCTTTTTTAATAATAAACATATTTCAATATGTGCCTTTTTGTATTTCACAAAAAAATACAATTAATTTCATTCAATAAAAATCAAATTTTGTTTTTAATTGTTTAAGCATTTAATTTTTGTGGATATTTTAAGATGTAATTTTTTAATGTATTTCTTTCAGTAGAAAGTTCTTATTCAACAATATAAAAATTTTTTTTGCTGGTCTATATATTTTAAAAGCTTTTATTAAACTACTTTAACTTGTCTACTTAACTTTAAAACTACATTTATTTTCATTTTATTTTGCACAGAGTTTGTGTGTAAAAAAATCCATTTTTTTTTTTCAAAATTTTCAGCTGTGTCCTATTTATTTCATTTTTTAACGTAAATTCTTATCGATCATATCGACAGATGTCTTCATTAAAAAAAATGCCGATAATCATTATATTCTAAAATATTCATAAAACTTAAATATCTAAACATTATTGCGTAATTATTATAATACTGAAAGCGTACAAATTCTGTTAAAAGTAAGAAATACAATACACTTTCTCTCATGTTTAAAAGAATCTAATTTATAGGTTCACATGAGATTTCAAATAAAAAAAGAAATACGTATTCTTGAACAATTTAATTTGTGTAATTATTAGATTTTATCGTTTGCAATCAACATATAATGCAAACGTTAAAAAATTTTTATTTTTTCGTTTCATTAGAATTTAATTTTTTATCATATAACACATTTTAATAAATCTCTATCTCTTTAATGAATTCCTATCTAAGTCATTTATTATTTAAGCACTAAGTAATAATATAATTAAATCCAAAGGTTGCTTTGTAACAAACTTAGAAAGTGCAAATAGTTATTATAAGGTCATGAATATTCCAAGATATTTATGTTTTTGCATTGAAAAACGTAAAATATCCTATAAAAATAAATTTTATTACTTCATATCAAACTAGGAAAATGCAACCTTCTAAGATATTGATTTCGCCTAAAAATACATTTAACGATTTAAAATTTTTGAATAAAAATCCTATTCGATTCACTTAACACTAAAAATGTTGAAATACTTATTACAAGTTACTTATTGTAAATACTTATTGTTTAAATACTTATTTTAAATATTCTGAAATATTTGACTTCAAAATGAATTTAACGATTTAGAATATTGGATAAAAAAAAACCGGATAAAATATCGTGAATGCATATTATTTAAACATTTATTTTCAATATTCGAAAATATGGTTTTTACTTCAAAATTTATGTGACAATTTAAAATGTCCGATAGAAATAGGTCCCATTTGTATTATTTCATATCAAATTAGGAATGTGCGATTAGTTATTATCAGGTTCAGAGCCTTCTAAGATATTGATTTCACGTCAAAATACATTTCATGATTTAAAATATTCAAATAAAAAATCCTATTCGAATCACTATACACTAAGAATGTTTAAAGACTTATTACAAATTACTTATTGTAAATACTTAATGTTTAAATACTTATTTTAAATATTCTAAAATATTTGACTTCAAAATTTATTTAACGATTTAGAATATTAGATTAAAAAATCGAATAAAATTTCGTAAATGAAATCGGATAAAATATTGTGAATACGTATTATTTAAATATTTATTTTCAACATTCGAAAATAATGATTTCACTTCATAATGTCTTTAACAATTTAGAATATCGGATAAAATATTGTATATAGAATCGGATAAATATTGTAAATACTTATCGGTTAAATAATCATTTTTATTTAAATTAATTCTAAAAAGTATATTCGAAAATACTGATTTCACTTCAAAATGTATTTAACAATTTAGAATATCGGATAAAAAAATCCGGATAAAATATTGTAAATAGAATCAGATAAATATTGTAAATACTTATCGTTTAAATAATTATTTTTATTTAAATTAATGTAAAAAAGTATATTCGAAAATACTGATTTCACTTCAAAATGTATTTAACAATTTAGCAAATCCGATAAAAAAAAAAAACTTATTCGAATTATCTCATATCAGACTAGGAAAGTGCAAATAGTTATTACAAGGTTCTTAACCTTCTTGGGTATTTATTTCGTTGGGCGTAACTGCTTTGATAACAGCTCGATATTAGACAACTATAATTAGGTTAGGCGAAATCTCATCTTCCTGGGTCACGGCCATAAAAAATATGTTAGCCCCAGGGCTGAAAGACTTAATGTGGTCGTATGCTTCATTCCCTAAGCATGGAAATCACGTACAAGATGCTATTTAATTTATGATGCCTAGTTTCCGCGATAATTCTTCAATGCCAAAGTATTCGATAGGAATTTCGGTCAGTTTTGGTGAAGTGTAATAATAAAGAATTTTTAGTTCTTCAAAATTAGGTCATTTAATTTAGAACATTTAAATAATTGATAAAATATAGCTGTAATCATAGATTTCAACTTGGAATCGTAGCTTTCCACGAAGATTCAGAATTGGACAAATTGAAACGGATGTGAATCCAAAAGACGTGGGCTAATCGAATAGGACTCAGACATCATTGAAATTATAAGGGAAAGTTTGTTTTCTGTCTGTTGTTCGAAGGTTCTTAACAAATATAAATTTTCGAAATTTTTAATTGGATTATTTCAGTGTTTGGGGTAATTTTTGAGTTGCGTAAAAAATGTGCAAAATATGGTTTGATGAGCGGGGAGAACAGGTAACTGAATTGGAATAATATTAAAAAACAACAGCAAAATTTGGGAAAGCTACAGCTTGTAAATTAGTCTACATAAGGATGTACTAATTTGGTAAAAAAAAAAAAATTCCTATGCTTATATCAAATAGTAGTCGATAGCAATGCCGCACGTCTTTTGGTATGTTTTAAGATTTGCATTTCATTTATTCATGCAAAAACAAATGTATGAGTTTATTAGTGAAAACTAAAGCAAAAAATGACGTGAATAAATAGCAAATCACAGAAATGGCCCTACTATAGTTTCGGTTCTGTAAACAACAACCTTCCTCTGTGTCTAAACAGCAAATGGTGCCAAGAGCTCTAGCGTCTGAATTTTGGTGCTTAACCTCTTGCGAGTGTCGCCCGAATACAGTTCGGGCAACTACATACTGTAAAGGATTTGTAACATAGATGTATTGAAAGTTATATTATTGTGTTTTTATATTCTATTATGCTAGTTATATTATATTTAGCTTCTAAATTTTGTTTAATTAGCTCTATTTGAATAAGATGTGTGTGTAATTCATTGCTTTTTTATGCGTATGTTAAAATTATAAATACAGTAGTTATTGCATTTAAAATTTAATTTTTGTAATAAAAAAACTTTTATTGTAATATAAAGAACAAAATTAAACAGTAAAAAAAAAGTTCCATTTTTGGTTAATTTTTCTGAAATACACTGAAGAGCCATTACATTATGACCACCCTGCTAATAACATGTAGGACCACCTTTAGCCCTCAAAACTGCTAGTACCCCCCGTGGCATTGATTCCACAAGGTGCTAATAGGTAGTCTGAGGTATCTCATACCAAGCTCTCACTAACTGGTCCTGAAATTCCTTCACATTGCGAGGGGGTAGCGTGGCAGCACGAATTTGGTTTTCCAAGTAGGACCACAAATGCTCTATTTGATTAAGGTCAGGTGAATTTGGGGGTCAAGACATGACTTGAAAGTCACCGGAATGTTCCTCGACGATTCGACCCTTATGACATGGTGTATTATCCTGTTGGTAAACACTATCCCCTGCAGGAAAAACTGTTGCCACGAATGAGTGAACCTTGTCTGCAACTATGTACAAGCAGCTTACAGACGTCAGGGATTGTTCTATGAGGATTATGGGTCCTAATGTGCCTCATAAAAACATTGTTCCTGAGCGAGAAACCATGAAAACCTGGACGAGCTCATTGTTATAGATGGAGGGTGGTCATAACGTAATGGCTCTTCGGTGTATATGTCACTGTTCAGGGGTTAAATACTGAGGAAGGTTCCTATTCATTAAACCTAAACTATAGTACGTTTGTCCATTTCTGTCCCTTTATTTGCGCTTCATTCACGTTGTTTTTTGCTCTAGTCTACGTATTATTAAGTATACCCTATCTTCCTTATAGGGATAGGGTATACTACATGGGTCGTTTTCATAATTTGGTGGCAAGACCAATTTATTTTTCATAATTGTTGCAAATTTTACAGGATTTTTCTTTATCACATGATCAGTTAAATATACTTACTTTAACTTACACTTATTTTTTTAGCCTCAAAAGTGATAAAAATTACAAGACACTATTTAAGAAAAAAATAGATTCTTAGAAATATGAGTAATTAAATTCTGAAAAGGCTAAAATTAAGCTCTAAAAAAGTAATAAAAACAATTAATTAAAATATGAGTGTTTGTATAATTAACTAACGATATCCGAGATTTTATGTCATGTCTGTTATCATAATTTTTTAATATTTTTTAAACGACACAATTGAAATTTATAAATGGCAACACTTGTTTGCTATTAAAGACTATTTAGGAAAGATATACAAGCAGTTATTACACTGTTTTCAGTTTACTTGGGGGAAGGCAAAGCTTTTAAATAAAAAATAAGTGTTTCACTATGTCATGTCTGCTAATATAATTCCCTGTACATAAAATATTTATCTTCTCATGTATTCAATTTATAAAATTTCACTTATTTGGATGTTTAAGTTAAATCAAATTAAGATATAAAACTTTAATTTCTTCTAGAATTTTTGCTCCTTAAAATGGGAAAATGTAATTTCTGTTTTCTGTCATCTCTATTGCTTTATTTCTCACTGATAAAAATCCAATTTTTCAATTAAATAAACACGAATTTAAAAATTTTAAACGAGTGTCAAATTAAAAAGACACTACTTTAAAAAATCTATTATTTTCTTTTTTTTAATAAAAATTAATATAAAATGTGATACGTACTTAAATACTTGTATCATATTCCCAATGAAGGAACCAATTGATGGATCAATAAAATGGTTCAACCTGCACACCATTTGCCTTCTGCAATCCGGTTGTTCACTCGTTAAATGATTGATGACGTCATCAGTCTTGTGCAAGATATCAAAAACTTCTCTGAATCCCTCATTCAGGGCTGTGGTAGGCAGCTTAAAAAAAGATCTTTTAAACCTAAAGAAAGTAGGGGAGGCACTGTCACTGTCCGCAACTACATTGCTGCCTCCAGAGTTAGTTATTGAACCACCTTGCTGATTGGCATTGTTACCTGGTCTGTTGCCAAACAAGTTCGCAAAGTTTACTAAGTTTGTAACCGAACCACCTTGTTGGTTGCCATTGTTACCAGGCCTGTTGCCAATCAGGTTTGGGAAATTGGGAATGATTGTTTTCAGACGATCCTGCATGGCCATGAACATGGGCATGATGACTGCTGTGACTCCCGGAATGGCCATCATGAGGGGCAGGAATGGTAACATGACTATGAATCTGGTGGCAGCCAAGGAGAATGCTGAAGGAGTTAGAGGTGATTGTCTCAGTTGTGTCAGTAGAGGTGTGATAACGTCTGCAAGATCTTCGACTCTAGCGGGAGATGAAAGTAAAGGTGATGCCATGCACTGCATGAATAGACATGATGATAATATGAAGGACCAGTATATTTTTGGTTTCGCCATTTGGATATCTGTAATTGAAGATATTAACTTTAGTTTTTGGTCAGGGAATTCAAATCTACACTAATGCTATTTGTAAACACCGTATATACGAATTATTCGATATTTATAGGAACAATATAGTATGGATATCTGTAATTGAAGACATTAACTTTAGTTCTTGGTTAGGGAATTCAAATCTACACTAATGTTATTTGTAAACACCTTATATAGGAATTATTCGATATTTATAGGCACAATATAGTATGGATATCTGTAATTGAAGACATTAACTTTAGTTCTTGGTTAGGGAATTCAAATCTACACTAATGTTATTTGTAAACACCTTATATACGAATTATTCGATATTTATAGGCACAATATAGTATGGATATCTGTAATTGAAGACATTAACTTTAGTTTTTGGTCAGGGAATTCAAATCTACACTAATGTTATTTGTAAACACCGTATATACGAATTATTCGATATTTATGGGCAAAATATCTACTAATCGCTGTACACGTTACCGGTAAAGTTGAAAATCCGGCAATACAGTGCTAAATGTCAAACTGGTATTACATGAAATCTGATTATTCCATACTTTTTATTAGTATGATTATGATTTATCAGTACAAGTTGGAAGTAGTTTTTTGATGCAACAATTGGGTTCATATTTAAATTTTCTTTCTTCAATACGCGAAAGGCACATAATTTTAGCAATTGCCATGCCTTATTAACAATAACCGGATTTACCGAGATAATAACCGTGTAAAGATGCGTAGGCCGTTGCCCGGTATACACTTGTTCGGCACTCCTTACACGGATTTTTTTTGGATGAAAAAGTTTCATTGCCTGGTATATCTTCATACTGATGTTTTTACTAATCAAATATTATTAATAGTATCCAAATAAGCCAGTTAATGTAAAATTTGCGTTTTATAAAAAAATTGATTTATTAAATAAAGAAAATGTAATTTTAATTTAATGAGGATTTCAGTCATGTGTTTTTTTTTTTTTTNCAAAGGCAGCTTCATCTTCCTTTGTTTTTTTTTTTTTTTTTTTTGAAGAAAAATTTCATTGCCTGGTATATCTCTATACTGATGTTTTTACTAATCGAATATTATTAATAGTATCCAAATAAGCCAGTTAAGGTAAAATTTGCGTTTTATAAAGAAATTGACTTATTAAATAAAGAAAATGTAATTTTAATTTCATGAAGATTTCAGTCATGTGTTTTTTTTGTTTTTTTTTTGAAGAAAAATTTCATTGCCTGGTATATCTTTATACTGATGCTTTTACTAATCAAATATTATTAATAGTATCCAAATAAGCCAGTTAAGGTAAAATTTGAGCTCTATAAAAAAATTGATTTATTAAATAAAGAAAATGTAATTTTAATTTGAAGAAGACTTCAGTCATGTGTTTTTTCTTAAATAAAGGAAAGTGAAGAAATAATAATATATTTCTTACTCCATGATACTCATATTTATAGTTTGCCTAAAGGTTATTTGTAATTTTATACAGGGACCTGCAAATTATATAATTCTCATATTTTCGACATTGCCTAAAAATGCTTCGCAGAATATATAATGCCAGAATTATTTTCTATACCAACAATACATACAATGATAAGATCTATAAGCTTGTCTTATATGCTTGTTCTATATAGTGCTTAATTATTTTACCAATTGTAAGTAAAATATCTAATGCGTATCATTACTTTTACAAACTAATATAGATTGCAGTTAGGCTACTATTGAACATAGGAAAACATTTGAAACTACCCGAATAGGTAGTTTCAAATGTTTTCCTCTAAACAGCAATAACCAAATTTTTTGAAATGCTCTCTAAAATTTGTATTAGTTAATGCTTGCGATTCAACTTTATCCATCATTCAAGGATCTTGCTTTTTTCGATAAACTCTAGTCTTACTATCTGAAAATGGATTTTTCTCTTCTCTTTTTTTTTGTAATTTTTTTTAAAAGTTTTTTTAGTTTTTACAATTGACCTTTTTTGCTTCTTCCCGTTTTTAACTGAACCACATTTAGGTTAAGGCAATTTTTAGTTAGATCATCTAGAATTTTTAACCATATCAATTTTGTTTTGTACTGATAAACTCCACATTTTTAACAATTCTTCAAACTTGCCATGCCAAGGGGATATCTGTAATTAAAGNTTGTATTAGTTAATGCTTGCGATTCAACTTTATCCATCATTCAGGGTTCTTGCTTTTTTCGATAAACTCTAGTCTTACTATCTGAAAATGAATTTTCCCTGATTTTCCTAGTATTTTTTTTTCCAATTTTTTTCACTTTTAACGTTTGACTTTTTTTTTTTTGCTTCTTCTTGTTTTTAACTACACCACATTTAATTTAAGGCAATTTTTAGTTAGATCACCTAGAATTTTTAACAGTATCAATTTCGTTTTGTACTGATAAACTCCACATTTTTAACAATTCTTTAAACTTGCCAACGACAGCTTTTTAAAATCTGTGTGCACTGTAGAAAGTTCTGGTTAAAATTGCCGTGAAAAGTACCAGAACTCTACTTTTTACCAAAAAATCTATTTTTACTGGAACATGTTATGAAGCAAAAAAACTGATATACCGTAATTTTTGTAGCATTACTTACCATAAAATTACTAAATCATTCTAATAAAATAAATACTACTGCAAAAATCCGGTGTAATATTTTACGGTAAAAATGAATTTTACAGTAAAATGGTTTTTATGAATGCAGGTGCTTTATACCATAATTTAATCCGGAATTTTTCCAGAGTAATTAAAACCAACAAAAATTGTCAAAACGGCTCAAAATCGAAGTGTTTGGTATTATTTGTTACTGGTAGCTAATTGATTAGAGCTAACTATTATTTTTAAGTTACGAAATCGAACGCAAAAATGTAAATTCTCTCTATAAACACTCCTACTTTTTAATTTTTTGATCATCAAAATATGGGGGATAGTCTTGATATTTTATTTTGCATGAAACCACCTTTGGGCAAACAGATTTTGTAATTGCATACAAAAAGTTTTTGATAAGTTAATTTGTACCAGAGATATTTCAAAATGCCTATAGAGCGAAATCAAAATAAGGGGCTTTAACGTTAAACCACTCTCTTGACTAAACAGTTGGAACCATGTTCTCCAAATTACGGCCACATCTACTGTATTACTATATTTAGAGGGTTAAAAATTTAAATAATTGGAAAAGAGAATGTGTTTATTCAGACAAAGTATATTTTTGTGTTGAATGTTGTAACTTATACTTCTAATAATTCGTAACTTAATAGATATCACCATTTAATTAGCACATATGAGGTTTATTCTTCAAACCTTTGAGATCGGCACTTAGTCTGTAAAAGCTCGATCAATAAAACAAAACTAGTTCAAGGCAATTTTTTTCTTTTTTTTTTGTCCTCCAGTATAATCAAATTAAGTGATATTTTTAATTTTTTTAGTGACGTAAGTAAAAATAACTGGAAGCACGTTACTTATATCTGAATTTACAATAGGGAGATATTCTTAATTTCCCCACATAATTATGTTGAGTTTTGTATACAAATGCTTGTTAGAAAATTCTCGGAAAAAATTTTTAAATAATAATTTATTTAATTGTTATTTTACCATATTCATACAAAACAGTTAAATGACCGTAAATAAGATATTCAAACTCTTAATTGTAATAAAAACCCATTTATTAACTGCTTTCATCTAATACGGTTAAACAACCAGAATTTTAGAGCAGCAACTAGTTCAACCTAATTAAGCCACAGCTGGGTACATATCATAGGCGAGAGGGCTGTCAATCTTATGACTGACCAGAACGGGGGTTCGAGACCAGGGTTGACAACACAAAATTTTCTCCATTCCCTTCAACTCATGAAAAGTTTCCAGTGCCCCGTACTCAATAATTTGAGACCCTGGGCCATTAAAATACGATATTTTTGTTCATGCACAGATGGCAGCACCATAAAGTTACTGAACTGTTTACAATGTCCAGTTAAATTTCTTTTTTTACAGTTTTGAAACCATGCTAGTTATAAATGACCGTGTAATTTTGTATTCATGATTTTTTATCGTACTAGTTGTAAACGGTTTCAAAACCGTAAAGGTAAAAAATCTTCCTAACCCTAAGCCTAATGGTTTATAGGATAGACGGGCTGCTCCCGGTTTTTTTATAATAATTTTTGAAGGAAAATTCTAATAATGTAAAATAACAAGGTATAGAAAAAGTTTTCCTAGTTTTTCTTAGATTTAATGTATTTATTTTTAAAGTTTCTCTCATTTACATAAAAAACTATTGAAAATTCATTGCAACCTCATATTTTCAAAACCGATAAACTCTGTTTCTAATAGGAAAGCAAAGTAATCTGCATATATATATATTTTAAAAAAGAGAAAGCTTCTAAAAGGTTTATAATTATGAAGTGATTAAGTTAAAAAGTTATTGTGTATTTTTCTTTCTTTTTACCATTCTTTTTCAAAACAAAAATCCTAAGTTAAAATTTTTGAGGGCTTAAACCCTTCATTGTTCATTTCAAAAGTATTTTAATGCATTTTTTAAATTTGTATGAGGTTAAAGTAATCAAGAAATATACTCAAATTGTGCCAGGAAATAACAAAAAGCCTTTATTTTTCGAAAATTTTATCTTCTTAAACTAATTAATATCAAGTTTTTTTTTTATAGAATATTATTAAATTTTTAAATATCCTTTGTTTAGTATAGTTGTTTCATTTCATCAAAATAATTTTTTTTATAAAAAAATGAGATTACAGTCGACATTAGTTTCATTAATAAATACTAATGAAAAATTTCAAAATTTCCCATAATTACCAATATTTACCACTTATGACAATTTCTATTTCGGAATCATAAAAGTATTTTATTTGTTGTTAAAAATAATAGCTGAACTTTAATCTGTTTACTTTTTAACAATGTAGCAGAAAATTTGGACAGTTATAAAAATCAAGCAATATAATTATTTTCTCGTACTGATTTTTTTTGTATTTTTCTAAGAAATTAT